CAGAACTCTTTCGGAAGGAGTATCAATCATGGAACACACACTCGAAAACAAACAATTTGTAAACTGGAATGACAAACACTCTATGAAGAGAACGTGTTCTCCTGGGACAAACAGTTCTCCAATTTATCTGTTGAAAAAAAGTCTCTCAAGCAAAGCTTGAAGTACTTTTATGAAAAGAGATAAACTCTATTTACATCTTGCTAATAAATATTAGTTACTTTTCTTTAAAGGATTAATACACTGCAGTTGGAAGTACACATCTAGGAAACCTGAAGGTTCAGAGAACCAAAAGAACCTTTTTATGAGTTGATTTCATTCTCTACTAGAATCCTAATAATTAAGTCATTACATTAGTGTTTATCTTTAGCGCAGAAGAGAATATACGATAATGCATTTCCTATCCAAGCAGGCTATAAATCAAAAGCAGAAGGTTATCTAAAATAAAGACATTTAGGAACTGTTTATTAAATTACTCACTTACTTTTCTATTTCTTAACGATGATGAATGTGCTGCTTCATAGGTTAACATGAACTTCCAAGACTGGGTACTGTCTAACGATTTTTGATACTGGATTGGGATTATAGTATAAACGTTAAATTGAAACTTTACCATATCCCTGAACCCATATAACAAAACAGACTGCAAGCACTCTTCGAAGTATCTCGGTTAAAGGGATCCTGCCACTGTACTACTCTACTGCAAGTGATTGGTAAGAACAACAGAAAGTAACATACTAAGCAATTAATGTTGCAATATAATTATAATTGTGATACTCTTTCACAGAAAAGAAACAACTTGAGTATTTTCTAATGACATATGTATTTTAATTTAAATTTAGTCAATTTTATGCTTCTGATTAATAGGCACTTTCCCTGTCAAAACTATTAATTCTTTAGTCATATCAATTCCAGGAAACTCCAAACGATCCAGCAAATGCAGATATGGCATCCATTACAATTAAACAGCCAGTGTATGCAAACTTCACAATTTGTTTTCATATCACAATGACAGCATGCAGTAATGAACTTTTTGTTAGAAACTGTAAGACTTGAAAGGTGAAAGAAATACACACTCTTAAATACTAATTACTCAGATGCTTAATACTCAATCCCTGCAAAAAATCTGGAGATCAGCCAAAAAGGGTCATAAACGGTTCGACTTTATACCAGAACACTATTTATCGGCACTCGTAATTTCTGTCTGTGTAGAAAGACTGTGCTTAGGACTTAGCAATGAAATAACTACATGTAACAGCAGTGCTAATAAGATCTTACGTATGAGAATTTTGATTATAACCTAGAAGCCTCTATTAAATTCAGCTAAGGAACACCAACCTGCTACAATCTGCTACAGCTGTCATAGGTGGTCAAGGTCAACAAGAACCTCAACACGTTGGTGCCTACGCAAGTGTTGCATCCAAAATGTGACTCTTCAGCAGCACAGCCAAGGAACTTGTCGGTACAGACCAGCTTCTGCCTAAACTGATATCCAGTGGCTAATCTAGACAATGAATAAGTACTTTGCTTGTCTACAAAAGAAGATACAAGGTCTTGGCCAAACGTACTGTTGGGGGAAACAAAGGGGTAGGTGGAAGGACGGACGCCGAGCTCCTCCGCACCGGATCTGCGTGCGAGGGCATAGTTACAACTTGGGCACTTCACCTTCTGTCTTTATCTCTTTCCCCTTTCCCCTCCTGCAAATCTCATCCTAAAACTTTTCCATCTTTTTAATGCAGAAATATAGTCCACTTTAATGAGCTCACTGTTGTTACTTACGAAGAAGCAGGCATTTCTCATCGTTACGCTAAAATTACTTAAAAGAATGAAACCATTAAGAAAAAAGTTCTAACTTCAACACTGAGAACAAAAGCAGCACAAAAGCAACCTCTCTCCTCCTTCTCATGTTGGGTGTTGCTGTTCTATGCTACCAAAAATCAAGAGAAACATCACAGATAAAAACTCATCGTACTGGAAAAAAAATCAAAAATCAGTGACCTCACAGGGGAAAGAAGTTTTACCCCAAACATACATGTGTAAAGTCAATATCCAAAAAGTCATTTGTTCTTGTATAACTAAACCCACCATGCTCCCGTCTAAAACAGCACCTATGACTGATCTCAGATTTATTTTAACGCACACATGTTTGAAGGTTGCCCTTTCATCTTGGCAATAGCAGTAATTACCAGTGGAAGTTTAGAAGTTCAATATAGTAAAGAGAAATGGAATATGTTTCAGAAATTTTAGTAAATTATTCTGGCTCAGTTCTCATTTTATGAGTTCAGTAATGTTAAGATTGTTACAAAATTCAAAATAAAAATTGAGACCGAACACTGAATCTATTTAAAACAAATTATAATTATTTTTTTATTTTTCTAGACTACTTTTCAATACTTCATTGTTGACGATACATACATAAACATAAACTAAGCCTTTAATAAAATTAAAGTTTTACTTAAATAACCTGGTTTAAAAAAAATTATTTAAAACTCATACATTTACTTCATTTGAACTTTAACGAGCAGAACAGACACAGTTCGTGGCACTGAAATTATCAGGTCACAATAAAGCTAAAAATGCGTCCTTGTCGAATGTCGGAATGAGACTTCCACAGCCTATGTACTCCTCACTTCCCACAATCAAACTGTCCCAGCAGGAAAACATTCTCCTGCATGTGGAGGTTTTGATACCCATTTCCCTGGTGAAAGCGTGCAAAAGGAGCTGAAAGAGTTATTGACAATTCCTACAGTATCCCTTATTCCATTAGACAGCACAAGTGGAGAACATCTCTCAACTCTGAAGGGAGAGGAAGCAACAATGTTTTAAATGACTATTGACTCCACCAAATTTCCTGATAATGTCAGAAGACTGGAGTCTGTCAGGTTCATAAGAGACTCAAGATGATACAGGAATCCAATTATGCGAAGCCTATTTAGTTGTCCTGTTTGCTAAGGCAAAGGTTAACGAGAACTGCACTGAAAAACCTCCCGTGGTATTACAAAGTATTTCTTATGCTGCATAACATGTAAATGAAAAAGTATTTTAATCGAGTCTTTCTTTAACTCTTTAATTGCAATGGAGTGCTATACAACACCACAAATTAAAAACTCATGACAGGAAAAGCAATTTAAAAAATTTGCCGCCCAACTGAAGACATCAGGACTAATTACTAAATATTTCTAATTTGCAAAGGAAAAAATGCTCAGATTACAGAACCACAGACAGTCATTACTAACATTAAATCTTTATAAATAGTAAGCTACGGCCTCTAATTTTAGACAGAAATTAATTATATTTTTGTTGGTAACACATTCAAATCTGTTTACACAGCTGACAAGCCTCAGCTGCACCAGACTCGAGCAGTGAGCTTTGAGGACTCTGCTGCTTTGGAGCAGATGACTCAACATTCACCAATTTCATTAGAGATGAAAAGGGAAAAAATTCACCTGCAACAATGTCACTTGTAAAAACAGACTTAAAACAGATTTATGAGATTTTACATATGTGAGGCATCCTATTCAAAAGAAAGGAGGGGAAAAAATATGGTAAAACCTAACAGCTGTGGGAAAACGGATTAGAAGTGTTGAGTTTCCAATTCTTTTTTGGGCTAATGTAAACTAATAAAACGTTAAAATGGATCCACATTTCAAAGACTGTAATTACCGCATGACACCGTGCTGTTATTTCAGATCTTACATCTATCATCTCAGATACGCTCCTGAATACATGGACATAGATTTACCCACCTCTCTCAAACGCAACTACTGTTTCTGCAAACACTACCACAGACGTGTTTTACGAGTATATTAGAAATTCAGACAGTCAGGGTAGCATTATTTTTTTTTTGATTGGCATAAATCCTTTACCCAGAGCAAAAAAATCAGCAGTCCTGTCACACAAACAGTAATTCTCCCTTTATAAGAAGAAAGTTGAAGCGGACAGGAACATAATGCATTGAATACAATGGCAATACGTAGACAAAACAAATCCCAACTCCATTTTCACTCTGTAGAATGCTCAGGTTCAACCCCTAGTATAAATGAATGCTTTTATAGAAATAGAAATAACTAATTTTTCTACATTTTTCTCAGGCCACAAAATCTACCTATAACATAAGTACAGAATTATTTCAGCCTTTTAAGTATTTTTTTTAAGTCGTTTTGTTTGTTCTGCTTTTTTAAATAAATGCAGACATCACTAGCTGACACTAGGAACATACTACCACAAGAAAATTATCTGAGTAGAACTGAAAGACATACTGTAAAACACACTGTAGGGCCAACCATGGAAGAAAGTAAGTCTAATATTTAATAGAATTCTGCAGTCCTACAATTTCAGGAATTTGTAGGCAATTCACAGAGGATTGTGTCACCACAGGTTCATATTTATCTCGACTAAGACTTCCCTCCATTTCTATATAATGGTAATTTTAAAACCTGCAACGTACATTTGGAAATTAAATACGTGCTGTACTATATATATTTACTATTTAGAAATATCATCTTGCAGATGTCCATAGAATTCTTACCGATCCAACAAGAACCAAAGTAGATACTTGAAAAGCAAGTGAAGCTCTGCACCGATTTCAACAGGAACATCTCCTGATTCAAACCAGACTCAGACTGAAACGTTCTGGCGCGTTAACGCACGCTACCGAGCCCAACGGCTCGTGTGCGTTCAGAATACGTGAGAAAAAAAGCAGAACTTTTTTCTTGAAGTTCAATCACCGCAGCAGACTTCTTCAACTTCCAAAATGTTGTGCAGCTTTGCTTCATGTCTCCTTCTTGTCTAAAATAGGCACTGAATTTGACACACATGAAGAATTTCCACACGCTTCAGTAATCCAATGCTTTAGTATTTATATCTTGCACGATAAAGCTCTGAAGGATGTGTATGGTTAAGTGCATATGAGACGGTAAAAGATACTGGGTGGTTCCAATCAAAAACCCAAGTCAAATCAACTATTTCTAGGAAGAAATGAAATGAGAACCAAAGGTACTTACCGAGTCATCTGTGGCAGAAGGAGGCCAGCCTTCCCATAACTGGTGACGGACAGGGATACTAGTTAGGTCATACACGTTTCGCTTTACCTGGTAAAAGAAGAAAAATTAAAAAAAAAAAAATCAGGACTCACTCTAACAAAAGCAATACAGGCAAATTACATTATTTTCATCATAATTCCAAGCTTCTTATTTCTATTTTTTTCTAATTATTGTAAGTTTCTCCAGCACTCCAAGACTGAGGTCTGTTCCACAGGTTTACACACCGTACTGCCAAAAGCAATTGAACAAACTATGGAAAAGAAAAAAATTAAAATCCATATCTTATAATCCATAGTGATTTGTTATTATTTCAGCATCACAAACGTGTAAAACTATTCATAATACAAATTCTCATGGTCAAAACTGTTACAAAGTAATGAAAAAACTGAAGGGAGATAGAAAGCAATAACAAAAAATTACATTAGAAATGTATTGTTTCACCTGAAAATTTTAGGGTCATGTTACATCCAATGTAATAAGAATTACATCTAGTTTTGCGTAAGTTTCTTCAATGGGATCCAAAAAAAGTATAATAAACATGAAAATATTAATTAGGAAGCACGTTTCCAGTGAAGACAACATATCTCAAACATTTATTAACAAAATGCAAATAAACTAACTTTTACATCAACTCTTTTCTCATGCTATTAACATAGAAGTTGCTACCACTAATCACCTCACACAATTGCTGTCAGGACAAAGGGAGGGGGAGAAAAGAAAGAGTTTAAAATTTTGAATATAGGAAGAATACTGCAAAATACGACCGTTACAAAACGGCTGCAACACAAACATTGACAAAGAGAGTGGCACGCTTCGTCAGAGGTGTTAAGCAATTATTTACATCACAAAAAAGGTATCTACTTTCATACTTGAGATGGAGAGCAATATCTCAGATTCTGAGTAGTATCTTACACCTGAATGTAAAGATTGCACAACCAGCCAGCACAGGTAAATATTGCTGGGCTGGACCAGAACTGTCAACACTAAAATGGTCACGGTGACCAGTGCTGGACTTTGGTTTGTCTTCCATAAAATCACCACATGGGAATAAAGGTCCTCCTATAGCTTCACAGGTCTGTTTTAGTTTCCAAGTGCAGATCTCAACAACCTACACTATAAGCAGAAAAACATTCTCAGATACATAAACAGAAGGTTTGGCACATTTTACTACTGTTTTACATGCCCGTTGGCTGGACAGAATATCTGATGGAAGTCAAAAGTTCTGCTCGGAGAGGGCTGCAGAGTCTAACGCTGACAGACACAAGAACCAAGCATTTGACACAAGAACCAAGCGTTCGACACAAGAACCAAGCGTTTGACACATTAAACCAAAAGAGATCAAGGCAGATGGATAAGATTCAACTTAAAGCAAATGTCAAGACTACTCCAAAAACTGTCCTCTGATGCCTTCTTTAGCTTTTAATTTGTGCCCTTGTCAACTGGAAAAAACCCCCAATAATTAACTGTACTCTAATTTCTGCTATGAGTATTACTAAAAAATCTGTGACCTGAAAAAAGTTATATATAGCTGTTAGCAGAAAACATCTCTGAAACACCTTGCAGTCTAGCACACTTAGCCTCAGTTAAAAACTTCCTCTGAACATGATGGTTAAAAAAAGATAAAAATCAAGAAGAAAGCTGAAATTTGTCAAAGTGAGAAATACGAACATAATCCCTCTATCTAAAATATTCAAGAAATTAATGAAAGATTATTCTAAACTACTATTCTTAGGGAGATAATGCAATGAAACAAAGTGACTCAGACATTTTACATAATCTGACACTATCTATTAATCAGTTCTTGCTATAACTTCTTCACTAACATGTTTGAACATATATGCAATGTACACATATCCCCTTACAATTCAACATGTCTCTTTAGTACAGAATGTATATGTAGCATCTGGCAGTGGATATTTATCTACAGATATGCTTGCCTAATGAAATAGCACCAGAACTCTTTCTCAGGATCTTCTTTGGAGAGAAATGCTGCATGGGCCCTCTATTTCAATTTTTGCACACAGTTCAAGCACGTCAGAAGTCTTCGCAGGGAGACTGAACTGGTAACTATGTTTCAATTAAAAAATTTTACAACTATATTTTAATTTAAGAAAATAAGAACACTATTTTACGTTAGGCATAGAATAGCGAACTATTTGTTAGCAACTAAAGAGGACTTCATATTAGCACGCTCTCATATTTAGGCACACTATCACACTTCAAAAAAAATACAAATATATCTCAATTATTAAAAACTTTAAATTCATTTCAGATACACATAGATATGGTATATTCTTCTATATATGCGCATATGTGCACACGCACCTGTGAAAAACAGAATTATGGAAGGTCAAAGTCTATAGAACTTGGGATATGATCTCATTCCTACTGTTCAAAACAAACAGCCTTTCTTCACGGCTTCTTAACAAGGCGGCAGCCTGCTGGGCAGTATTCGTTTCGCAGTGGTATCAAGGTAAAGAGATGTCATTACTCCGCACTGACCCCACAACAGCCCATCAAAATGTAACAATACTGATCCGCGATCACAAGAATACGGTTCTCGCTATTTCAGTTTTCTTGCGGATAATCTAGCAGTGTGAGATAATTCTTCTCCAATTAGACACCAAAAAGCCTTATTAATATTATTTTCACAATTAAAAAAAACCCCACAAAATTCTAAAATGAACTAGTTTCAAATAACAAGTGAAACTTATTTACAGAAATGTGGGATCAATAGAACTACATAATACTGTTTGCAAAAAGCCCTCAGAAGTAAAAATAAATAACTCAGAAGTCACATTCCTCAAATTCCCTTTTAATTCCAAAGTACAACAGAAAGGCATTATGAAAAAAACAGTATTTCCCTTCTTTCATTAACTCATCTGTAACTGCACTGAATTCAATAACATTCCTCTGCTATTCTAAGCTTGAAAGGCATGCGCGGGGTAAAGTGTTATGTTGGTATAAAGCACAATGCCAGACTGATGTGCTGGACAAAAGTGATCAAAGTTGAAGCAATTTTAGCCAACGCACAAGTATTCTGCTGCATTATTCTACCAGAATGACATCTGTTGAGCAACTCGTCGCAGAATAAACGAGTTGTTATAGACGGGCTTGGTCGGGTAGAGGACCATGTAAGACTTATTAGAGTAATGTTTGATTAAACAAACTGCTTGAGTTAAGATCATAACTGGATTTGGAGTTCGTGCCAAAGCAGCCCTCTTTCAAACAACAAGCCACAATCAATTATTCAAGATAAAATAAGCTTGCTTTTAAATAACTATTTAATTTTTGGCGTGTTTGATAATTAGAACAGTATTAATAGAGCAGACTGCAAAAGTTTTAAAGACTAGGAATATTGACCAAGCGAAAACAGAAAGCCACATTTCTTCGTTAACTGACTTAATTGCAGTTTAAAGTTAAAAATTCTGCAAGGAGAAAAAAATTGTAAAGCTTCCTACAAAGCAGAATGAGAAACTGCTTCTTCACCAGGCCAGCAAAGTAAAAACCTACGGCTACACTCTTCACGCAACTGAAAAAAGTTAGCACGGTGAATGGACCAAGTCTCTGTTAAAGTTTTTATATATAAATTCACATGGTATGGATAGGACAACCGAAAATCTGTATTAATTTGTGTAAAGCAAAGTCTGCCTTCTAGTGACACCCACCGAACTACATTTATTGGCAAACTTTTTGGTCCCCCACCTTTGATCGGTTCAAAATACTAATTGCTGGCATTGTCTTTGTGCAGCCCAGAATTTCTTTTCATAACGCTGCGATGCCATGGTGACTGGCACATTACTATGGCAGCCACCCTTCAGATTATAATCTCCAGTATATACGAGATCATTTAAAAACAAATTAAAGGCACGTCTATTTGGTTCCACAACTCAGCTGTGAACAGTATCAATACAACCATTTAAACCAAAAAAAAAAACAAAAAAAAACCCCAAAAAAAACGCAGCTGCAATTTTACTTGGAAAATTCTGTGCAAGTCCTGCAGAATGCCCTGCCTTGCAGCTACACACCGATGCTAGTGGAGCACATGAAGTTTTAGCCTCAGCTTGTTTTCACTGGTGTTAGAAGGGAGTTAAAATATTAAATAACTTGTAATATTTTAAGAAAACCCATGCTGAATTAGTCAACACACTGAGAAAGCTTCCCAGATACAGGCAGTGTCTTACTTTCTTTTCTTTCACTGCTCTTTTTAAAAAGATGTTGCTTTGATAGGAAGGTTAAATACAAAAGATACACTTTGGAGATATGAAGTTAATCCAACATTCAAAACTCTTCCACATCTGCATTAGTAAGGAAAAAACGAACTAAAATGTATTACAGGGCAAATAGTCTGTACCAGGTAACACGATGATGACAATCCTCTGGTAGTTTCACTTGCCAGGAGTAAGCAGCTATTCTCCTACTCTGAATTAGAAAAACCTGAAATCTACTGTCAAAAGAAAAAAGAAAATCTAGCACCTACCGAATTGTTAAAAAAAATTAAATATTATGTGGAATCATCAAAAAAAGCATCATGCCTGAATCTGTATCTTTGAATCACAACAGATCACACCCAAGTTTAACAGTAGTTTCCCTCTGGCTGTTTTCCACTTATGCAGGTACAAAGTTATTTGAAATAATGTAGATAATGAACTTTTGTTAGTCTTATTATTAAATATAATTTATGCAAAGCTGTAAATTGGCTGAGATGCTAAAGCCTGTTCCAGGCACATAGGCAGCATGAAAGACAGTGCAAAAATGAGTGCATGAAAGGCAGACAAAAGGAGCAATAAAGTCAGAGGACTGTGAGGAATGTGGAATGTGAGTTGGGGGATGCGGGGAAATGAGATCAGACGCAGAGAGTGCGAGGTTGCACGGTGCACTGACAGCAACGCGAGGATCTTGACTTTGACAGTGCCATGGGGAAGAAGCCAAGACAAGCAAGCAAAATTTGCAGGGGACAGCAGCAATACAGATGGGGCAGCGTCAGAAACACAAAGTGAGCAAGAGCATTTTGGTGGAGAAAGAGGGAAAGAAGGTGGCAAAAGACT